AAAAAATCATTAAGTCAAATCATCATACGTAAGAGACTGTCTATACTATAATGACTCACTGTATAATACTTAAATGTTAGTAATATGGACGATGGAGACATATTTGAGTCATTTAAAGTGATTATTTCTGTTAGAGCAATCATTTTCTGAACTGTGAAATAATTTTATGAAGTATACTTGAGTGGTATGTGAGATACATTATGTAAAATTAGGAGGCACTTAGTCAACTCCCCCCCCCCCCCGCAGCACACACACCACAGAAATGGTGTCACTTACCTAGAACTGCACAAACTCCTACTCTTGGGACTTGGATGCTGGAGGAACCACCTGATTTTGGTTCAAGGATGCCATAGCCCTAGACAACACCTCTCACTGTGAATAGCGTGTGCTTGCTCTGAAGGATTGAGCAGGGAGTCTCAGAAGAAATGAAGCTCTGGTCCTGCTGTGGGCATGTTGCTGCGAAGCCTGGGAGATGAGTGAAGTCACTTTCTGGAGACTTTTAATGAGCTTTCACAAGGCATTCCACAAAAATGCCCCAAAGAGGGCATGCTTCCCTTTCCCACAACTACACATTAGGCAACTCGAAGCTTGCTTAGGAACATACCAGAAGCCAGGGGTGCTGAATCTATGTATATGCCAGGAGAAAACTTTCCAGTGTCTTGTTGTCTTGCAATCTTAGTGTGGTTGCAAGAAACAGAAGCCTACTCCAAAAAGCTCAGACAAAAAGGAAGCTGATTATCAGGACATAAAAATGCAAAGTCCAAGGCTGCATGAGCACTAGGTGAGGAGTCTGGCAAACCATGAGAAACCAAAGTTTGCTGTCTTTCCTTCTGTCACTCTTCCCAAAGCCATATAGCTTTTACCTCTGCTTACCTTTGTGTCTTCTTCATTCTCCCCTCTATGAAGATAGTTTTCCTCGTCCATCCATCCCCTGAGTAAATATAGACATTCCAGCCTCACATCACTTCCTCATTCAGGGACCAACAGAGGATGACTAGCATCTTGCTATCCCATGTCCAAATTGCATCAAGGAATCTGATTTCCTTACTTGGGTCAGGGTCCAGTCATCTTGGCCAGGTGAGTGGGGACCATCTAGCACACAGTCAATGAAGCCAGTGTGGCAGGTCTCAAAAAAATGGGGCTGTTTCTTGAACAGACATCTTAAAATGTCACTGGGCTAGCAGCTTCTCTTGATGGGTTCCTGGGAAGAATTGCTTCCTGTTTCCATGAGAGTTAGAGGATTCATAGTTGCTACAATCCAAGGCTGGTGGTGTAGTAGAAATAGGCCTGAAAGTGACGGACGCCTCTCTCTGATGCTCAGCTTCTCTGAGGAAGAGACATCCTGTCGTTGGGGGAGGGGGTGAACCTGCACCCCCTCATGACTTCTTCGCAAGCATCTCCTGTACTGACTGCTGGTGAATTGAGCAGAATGACCCTTGCATTCACTCTGCTTTCTCTCATGTGTCTCCATCATAGTCTCAGTAATCACCATGGGAACATGAAAAGAGGCTGCTTTTAGAGGTGTTGCTCCAGGGAAGACCGTAGAATAAAAGGGGTTGGGCTATAACAAGGTTCTCAAACATTTTAAACAGTAGAACTCTTCCTTTAAATACAATTCCACATGACAACCAATAGAGAGAGATTAAAAGTTGACTCTTGTGGATGTCAGGTAGGGGGCATAGCACTCCCCTTCTGTGACCCCCTCTTCTTCAGGTCCTTAAAGCAACTCCATGATAACCCACAGGGCTATGGGGGGCAAAGTTTTGGAACTCCCTGGGACATATGATTTCTAATATCTCATCCAGAATAAAGTACGTGAGATTTCACTTAACTAGAGCCAACCCTGAATATCTATCTGTCTGTCTATTATCTAGGTATCTATCTCCTAGCTACCCATAATCTATCATCTATCCAACTCTCACCTAAATAGCCAGCTAGAAAGCTACACCTTTTTGTTTTCAACAAATGGGTATGCTATCTGAGTATCAATCTTCTAATGCCCAATCCACTTCTTTCGTTTGGTCAACACAAATTTACTGTGTAACTGCTATGTCCCAGGTCCAGGGATCTGGATACGATCGTGAATGAGACACAATCCCTTCTCTTAGAAGGTTCACAATCCTAGGAGAACACAAATTCACACACAGGAACTCACAGGCAGACCACACTCAAACACACATAACTGCTGACCCCCAGACTCAGGCCTTGCGCACCCTGAGACTTCCATACACACCAACACCCACATTCTACCAGACACACACATCAACCTCTTGTGCCCAAAGGCACATCTGCACATCCAGAGAGTCTCACCCTGGCCCTCAAGTCCAGCCACTTACACATTTACTATCATGAATAACTTTGTAACAGCCGAAATTTTTAACATGCCCTATGTATGAGGCATTAGTTTAAGTGCATTATGGGCGTTGTGTCATTCCAACCTCACATTAGACACTGGAGGTAGCTACTATTTTTATATTCATTTTAGAGATGAGTAAACAAGTACTTAAAAAGACCATTACGCATAGCTTTTAAATGGGCCTATAGCTTTTCAATGCTTAATTCAGGGCTTGAACCCGGGTAGCTGGACTTTGGAGCATATGCTCTTAACTAGATACTGTATTCTGCCTCTATTTATGCAACACACACACATATGCACACAGCAGCAGCCACACACATACACAGGTAGGCTTGTGGACATACATGGGCATTTGCTAACACAGAGACTCTCACGCATCCACAGGCCTTGGCATTCATAGCATACAGGTGCTCACATGTGTGCACTGATTTATGCATGGTTGTTTAGATGCAGGCGTATACATGGACCCTCACATATAACTTTACACAAAGAAACACAGAGACACTTCCATCCAATACTCATGTATGCACATATGCGCACACACACATATAACAAAAACACGCACATACACACCCACATGAGACAGGACTCCAATCATATTTCCTCTCCCATCCACTTCTCCCCTCGCCTCCAGTGCTGCCCAGCTGGGCACCCAGACAAGATAATGTCCAGCCCAGGAGACACAGCGTCTGGAAGTGCTGGAGGATCTTTAGGCCTACTTAGGAAGCAAGGCATGCAGATGCCAGGCAGCAAAAGTCAAGCAGTGTTAGACTGAGACAGACACTGAAAACTCAGAAAAGGGAGAGCTCAACCCAGCCTGGGAGAAGAGGGAGGGGTTCAGTCCCAGTGAGTTTAGCCCCCTCATTTTACAGATGGAAACTGAGGTCCAGCAAAGAGAAGAGGCACGTTCACCCTTAATCCCTTATAAGATACACTGTGACCAGGTGGGAGTGAGGGGAGTAGGGAAAGAGGAAGCTGGTCACCTAAAGGCAGTTTGGAATGGGGACCCCAGAGGTTATTTTCCATCCAACCTAACTCACTTCATAATCTCTTCTCACCCCCTCCCTCTAATCCAGCCTCTTTCTCTTGTGAAGTGCTGGAAATCAGCCTCATATTTTTCATCCTCATCATATTAGATTATCTTTGCTAAAGCTCTATGGAATTCATCCACTTTTCTTCAACCCCATTGACTCTGACCTCAAGCCACTGACATGTCTCACCTGGACTGCTATAACTGCTTCTGAAGTGGTCTTTTTCCAGGCTCACCTCTTCCAATCCATCTCTACTCTGCAGCCAGTGAGCATTAAAGCAAAAGTCCCTTCCTCCTGTAGATCCCTTGAGCAACTCCCTGCCTTCTGCCTGCTTGACTGACCCATCACAGCCTCCACTATCTGAGCCACTGCCTGACTCTCCAGCCTTAGCTCTTAAACTTAGCTCCTTCATAACCCGGGTTCCAGCGACACGGACATCCTCATAGCTCCCTGAGCTGTTCTGCTTTACCCCACCCTACTTTTGAGTGTGCTGTTCTTGCTGTCTGGAAGGCCCTTCCTCCTGCTAGGGGTACTAACTTCAGAACTCAGTTTTATTTCTCCTGTGAAGTCTTCCCGGCCTCCCTGTCTAGTCTACAGCTGATCATACTCTTTTTTGTGACCCCGTCATTAACAGAAGTATTTTTCCCATGTATGATCTGCATCTGAAATGATCTGTTTTTACATCTGCGCCACACCCTCACTCTCTACCCCAGACTGTGAGGTCCTTGAGGGCAGGGGCTTTACTAGATTCAAACCTTCTTGGTTGAATACATGAAGGGACAGGCTTGCATCCTTTCACCTCAGTAATCATACTGGCATCTTCTAGGCAGGGAAGAAACAACTTCGTAGCAGAAATAAAGGAAACCTTCTGGCTTAGATCATTAAGGTGAAAGAACTGAGTCAGAATGTGAAGTAGGAATTCTAGGCTGGATCCCAGGCATTCACTCCCACCCCATTGTCAGCTAACCTCACAGAGGGTCAGCTTCTTTTCCCCTTAGTTCTCATCTTCTATGGCTTCAGGGGAAGTTGGTTGGAAGTTTGAATGTTTGTTTGTTTGTTTTCATTGAAGAGGACTGTGATGGAATCAATATAGTGGTTATCAGTGGAGAGTAAGTTGAGAGAAGCTCAAGAGTGGTTACTATTTACTGGCAGGGAAGAAAAGCAAACCTATAAAGGGCTTGGGAAAGACTAAG